AAAATTGTTTTCCATATAGTTATTAAGGCTAACAGTTTTGCGTTGAATAAAATAGTTTATTATTGCCAATATTCCAGAAAAATTTACAAATTAAGTAAGGAAATATTCCTTCGTGGTTGAATTTTATAATAGATCTACAATCATCATCACGACTAAACAAGTGAATATAAAATAAACGTTAATTAAATAATTATCAGAATGAGGATTTATGGAGATTGTAGTAATTTTATCAGTTGAATTCATGAGTTGATCTAAGCTAGTGACTGGCTCCAAGATGATTTCCTGAAGTTATAGCGAGAAACTGTAACCAGTGGAGTTCAATCCGTGTTTGAGTATAGATGGGGATCCACCTCATCCGATAGATAAATGTCTGCGCAGTCGTTCATGGATCGATAGTAGTTAAATAATCAAACCGTTGAATGTCGGCTCAGTGGCTTAGATGTCAAGCATTTGCGTGCGAGACCAAAGGTCCTTGGTGTCCACTGCCGAGAAGCCTCATACTAAGATGAAACGGCCGTCCACTGCTTTCAGTTTTTCAATATTGATTTAACATCAATCGATTCATGATCCCAATCAGAACACTTTAAATAATCCTAAGCTGAATAAAAAAATTAACATTCGTAGCATTAGTTAGTTACCTTCCATTATATATCTAACTTAAAGCGAAATATTCTATTTTAAGTCTATTATTGTTCAAAATTTTATTAAGTATTATTTTAATAGAATTACTGTCTGTAAAGAAATTGTAAACTCGTTATGTTACTATCATTATAACAAATGAATGAAATACAAGAAGAATAAAAATTCAATAGTTGAGATCATGAGTCAATTGAAGCTAGACCATCATAGAAGACCTGGAGACATTGAACTCATGATTTCAACCGTTGAAATTGCTATAATATTCACAAGTACCACTTCCGTTATTATTAAAAATTTAGTTTATTCATTTTTATAAAAATCAGCATTGAATAGATTGAAAATAAGTCTAAAGGTTAATTGTAGACAAACTTTTTATTGAATATTGAAGTACATAACCATTCATAATATGTTCTTAATTGAAACATAGAAAAAATAGTTGAAATATGGAATGGATGCCGGCTCAGTGGTCCAGTATTTACGCGTTCGTGCGCGAGACTGAAGATCCTGGGTTCAAACCCGGCAAGCGGGATCATGGATGCGCACTGCTGAACAGTCCCACAAAAGAACGAAACGGCCGTCCAGTGTTTACAGGTTTCCAACGGTGATCAAACATCAATCGGTTCATGATCTCAATCAAAAATATGGGGTGATTCAGAAGATGAATAGTTGAATAGAATCTTTACTTTTTATTATCATTATAATCAGATATACGTTTCAACCTGGTTATGAATACACCATCAGTGTTCATCCAAAGATTATTGAACAGTCTCTTTCAAATATTATGTTGAATATCGTGATCGAATAGTTGCAATCAAAATAATTATATTTTTGTGTAAATCTAAAATTGTATCTTTGGTATGGGTGCCTAAAAGAAATCATGAAACCATCCATACAATATTTATTATATAATTAAACCTATATTTACATAACCGATATCATTTACAATCAGTAAGCAAGAACCGTGTTGTGATTTTTCACTAATTCAAAGAAAAACCCTGAACTAAACTTATTTGTTTCCATAACATGTAAGTGAATAATTAAACAGCATCAAGTGAATACACTAATTTACTATTTGAATTATAATCCTTACACTGAATGATGAGTGATAGTGTTAACTAATAATTAATTGTACTACGTTTGCTGACAACAAAGGAACAAACAAAAAAGTTGATATTCAGCAGGAATCTGTTACCTGTCAATAGTTGATTTACTCAATAAACATACAATTATGCAAAGTATGATAAATAACAAACCTTTTTTAACTAAATTTATCAATCATTCGTTACTAATAAATACTTCCATATTATAAGGACAAACCAACTGAGTTTTTATCTATTTCATTTGAAACGATTACTGATATACTCATATCTATACGAAAGATACATATTTATATAAGACGTTACACCAACTTTCTGGCTAGTATCTTATAGGTATAGATATCGTATTAATAATGGACAATAATTATGAAATAACTTGAAGGTGCTTTGTATATTGTCTTCACAATCAAATAAACACTGGAGATAAAACTTAAAATAAAAATTCTCTTTCTATTCGTTCAATGTAAATTAGGTTTAAATTAAAAATATTGTGACACATTTATTAAATAACGATATACTTTTTCCCATTTTTGGATTACGCTTCTTTTAATGAATGCTACCATCAATGGAAAAGTAAATGTATAATGTTTTAAAAGTGCAATTTAGAGAATAAAAACCAAATACTTTAATCATTAAACTACAACTACTTACGTCAGTATACAATACAACAATTTTTTCCTTTGGTTGATGAATACCATTTCTTTTATTTTAATATTAATAAATCAATTATTCAAGTGAATGAAAATAGTCTCTTTTAGTGATTTCCCCTTCCTATACTATCCTTATTATTACTATTATCACTATGTTTTATTCTACTCCACTTTCTTTTCTATCTCTCCAAATTTATTCAGCACATTTATAGATGAATAATTTTCAATTATCTCGGGAAAAAATGTTTTTTTCTTGATCATAACATTCTTCAACTGTTTTTGATTAAAGATACCCTATGAATGTAACTAGTATCAACATTGGCAAATAAAAACTTACTCCATTTTCTTAAATTATATATATATATATATATATATATGATGGTTGGCTGATTGGTTATGTTGTTCAATAAATGAAAAGTCGTTAAGTGGTACAGTGATCATAGAATACTTTTAATCTTATTCATTTCTATAAAAATACACTGTACTATTTGCTTTTCTTTCAAAGTGTAAGTTGTTTCTTAACCTAGCTTTTGTTGCACTTAGTTGTGTATGTTTTCAGTTATTGAAGCATCTCAACTCCCCAGAGAATTGTAATGAATATTTCGTACAATATATATATCAATATGTCTGCAATCAGTTGTAATAATACCCGAGTGTTATATCTGGTGATATGTAATCATCTGTATCTACAATGCAAATGATAAGAAAATAACCATAAAATTTACATAGGGATTTCGATTAACAATTTTCTATGAAATATTTTAAGAAATTGTACATTCTGTCAACATTATACGACAATGAACTATAGACTTTAGTTGATAGTTTTAAAGTTAGTGTCGCCATAAATTAAAATGGGAGAAAAATGGATTTTTCTTATCTGCTCAAATGTTTTCTTCTTTTTTTGGGCAGGGGGTGACTGTCAATATTATAAACACAAATGCTGAATATTTGTCATAACTTAACAATAACTTAACGATGAAATTGTCCAACGGATTAAAACCGAATAAAGTTTATTTTAAATTTAATCTTTTAGGTAAATATGACAAGTAGTGAATAAGTTTCATACTATAGATGGATTTATCCAGTAAATAAACAAATAACTAAACTAAAATAAACTATCATATATGTTGAAAGTAGAGAATGATTATCTTTTAGGAATTCATTTTTATTATTCACATATTCATATAACTTTTCTAAATTCAATCATGGCAAGACTATAATTTATGGATGAATCAACCAGGTATAAAATAATAGGTCTTTGATTTTGACGCGAAAATCATTCATACATTTGTCTAAATAAAGTTCATGATGAAAACCCTAATTCTTAACCTTAATCATCAACCATAAATTATAATTATAATTCCTCACACTGGTTTATAATCCTTATTTGGTTATGGTTATTAGGTGGACCCTTTCAGGGTCACTTCAGCGTTACCCAAAAGTCGTCCATAAATTATAGTCTCATCTCAGTCATTTGAATTACTCAAATATTTTTATAGTTTATTCAAAAATTCCAGACATTTTAGCATCACAATCTCCGCTTCTATGATGAATTCATAATGGTCAACATTTATCTTTGACAAAAATGACTGATATATCTGAATATAAACATGTATTCAATATATAAGCAAAGATGAATAGTGGCTAGCAGTAAAATCCGATTTGATGCCTATTTCGTCCTATTTGAGACTCATCAGCCGAAACGAAACTGTAAACAGAAAGTTTATCAAACTGAATAGCTATCAGTAATGTAAACATCCAATATTATATTTTAGAAGATAATTGATATTACAAATGGACTTTTCTACTTCACAGTGTTTTCAGCTTTATAATACCTATCCAAAATAATTATTATCAATGAATGCAATTAAGCATTACCATTAAATAGTTTATAGAATAATATGGATTGCTTAGCTAATGATGTATTCAACAATTATTTGTTTACTGGTGGTTTATCGCTAAATAAATAATGAATAATTAGTTTATAAAATGGATACTTCTCATTTAAAGTAACCATAATTAATTAAGATCTTTAACATGAAGTATAAAATTTACTAAGAAAAATCATATAAATATCAGTTTATTAAAATGAACAATTAGAAAACAGAAAAGTACACTAGAAATGTCAAATATAATCCTATAAGTCAATATTACTGTTGACTATTAAAAAGTAGTACACTATTTATATATAGTTCAACTGTCGCCAGTGTATTAGTGGTGGAATATATTTTCACTATGGTAATTCTAAGTTTACAAGGCAACGAGAAAATAACAAATAAATACTTTGAGACAATTCATATATCTATACATTTATTTACAAATTTAATTTTGTTTCAGTTGCCTACCAATTTGTTTCATAATTATGTTCCTTGATATCATTCTATTAGTGAACCAAAAAAAAGAAAAAACGAAGAAGAAAAAGAAGAAAAACACAACAAAAACAAAATAACAACTGATAAGAGGATTTATTCAAATAAATGCATAAAACCATCAATACAACATTTATTGGTATCCGGTATAAGATTGAAATTAGTTTCTTCATAATTCTATAAATTACATTGAATCTGATGATAATTCATATTTGAAAGGAAGAAAGAAAGAAAGAGAACAAAATCTATACATAAGAATAATACAATATGGTATAGAAAATGTAAAAATACATGAAATAAGTATAAATATGCAAAGGTAATAATCTTGTCTCTAAAGATTTGCCAGTATTATCATTGAATGTATCATACAATTCTTTTGGTTCAGTTTTAATATCTAAAAATTATTTTTAAAAAAACGTGATAAAACTGAGTAAATATTAATTGACAAATCAAAATTTTATAAAAATCTATTTTATATATTTACCATTGATTAATCATTGGGTAATGGTCAGTGTTTAGATTGAATTCTATTGACCAAGTTGTAATGTGACCACTAGTCTAGGTGACTCGACATTATGTGCACTGTGTTGAAATACGATGATGATTAGAGGTAGTTTACAGGAAACCGTGGACTTAGGTTCCATGCTACTTAACATTCGTCAGTAAAGTGTACCTGTATTATTCCTGAAGGAATTGATGCTCTCTGACGGATTCGATCCCGCGTCACCTTTCTAAACAGTCACAGACGTTACCACTGAGCTATCTGGGACATAGATGTCCTCCTGTTAGACTGAGATTTATTCACAATTGATTGATCACTGGGTGGTGATCAATGGCACGTCAGTCGCGACCCGGATAGCGCAGTGGTGATGTCTCTGACTGTAAAGCTGCATGACACGGGTTCAAATTCATCGGGGAGCAACTGTTCCCTTAACATTGCAGGTACACCTTGCTCATGAGTGCCAAATTGCATAACACCTACATCCACGGTTTCCTGTCGACTACTTCCAACAATCATGTTATCTGTCTTATAAATGAATTATAGGAATTGTTGTTATTTACCAGCGAGCTATAAAATTTTCACTACACTTAAACAGTTTATATGTATGATTGTTGTTTTCAATCTCCTGTGGTTTTCGATGTTAAACTTTTAAAAGCAGCAGTATATATCGATTTTAGTCCTTGTTGATTTCAAAAGCAAGTGATACCTGAAGTTCGGTTGATATAAGTAAATCCATATAAGTCCTTGATGCTACTCAGTGGTTCAGTTAAAGCAATCAAGATGTATGCTTTATTTATTATTAGTTAGTTATGTATGATTATTCTCAGTTGAAAGATTTTAGATGAAATAATTTGTTTAATCTTACCTTATTTTCAGTGATACCACATCAGACAGCTTTTTGTCTTGAAAAACACTAAAATTGTTAAATATTTAATTAATAATGGATAGAAAAGAATCTTCATATAAATACTTTCAGCTTAAAATTTTGAGACAAATGTAAAACATAAAATAATTAAGCATAATCAACTATATAACAAGAACTTTCTTACTTGTTTTCTGTAAATCCAATGAACTCTCTTCTAATGATTCTAAGTTAGTTCCAGGAACTTTACGACAAGTCCAAATGCCTGAATTATTTTTTGTTAATCGTCCAATTTTCAATCTACTCATTTGTGTTGTTCGATTAATCCATTTGGTTTGTATATCTACGTATAATTCTTTTATTTTTAAATAATTGTCTAAATTTAAATGTTTTTTATAATAGTAAATAACCTACTTTCTAATTTCGGATATATTCTATTTCCATTATAATACCAATGAATAGATGATGTTGTGGTTGGATGATGAAATTGAACAAGACATGTTAAATGATGGTTTTGACCAGGGTTATTAAAGATATGAACACCTAGATACCATTAACAATGAAAAACAACAACATAATAATAATAATGATGAAAGAAAAGATTGTGGAATAATGGACGTATTGAATTTTTCTACTTTTTCTCTTTGCTATCCATAATTCAAACGCACTGAAATATGTCTTACCATTTCTTGAAATAATAATAATATCTTTAACCTTGGTATAAATAAAATGCTAAATGTAATGTTCAACCAAATGTTTTTAAGCCATTTACCTAAGAATCTGCTAAATTGTAAGATTTGAATACTTGATTTCTGTGGAATGCAATAACCTTGTAAACAATATAAAATCTCTTGTCGACATTTTTTAAAAAGACTCCATTTTATAAGTTCATGGTAATCATTCTTTCTGAATATTATGGAAGTCAGTTATATAATTACAGTAATTTTAAGATTCATGATGACACGAGATTATTACTTAAATTTCTTATCAAAAAAGGTTAGTCTGGACGATTTTCATTTTGAACTGTAGATTATTGTGTGATAAACGTCTTCACTAAGAAATCTCCTATCCGAGTATAATAGTGTTAATCTTCTGAAATGACTGAACGCATTACTGTTTTCTTAGAAGATATATATGTACACATAGTTCCCTTTATTATCTTAAAGAGAGCAAGAACGAAGATTGGTGCAGAATAATATGAATTCATTTTATTTCGTTAGGTTCTTATCAGCTGCTTACAACCTAAAATATTTGAAAATCAACATGATTAACAAACAATCTAACTCCATTCTTTTGAAATTTGCAGAATCCAAAGCAATTAAATGTCTAAAACCAGATCTTTGTATACAAAAATAGACAACAATAAATCTTTCTTTACCCTGGTAACATTACCCCTCTTTTTTGTTTTTTTTCATTTTTATTTATTACGTCATTCATTATTTCACCTCTTTCTGAAGTTTAAATTACATCATTGTCATTTTTCTTTATTTCATAACTGACTGATCTCAGTTCACATCTCCCTTTATAATAACTGATCTATTTCCAGTTGATTAATTACACAATTTTCTACTGTTTGTTAACTTCATGAGTTCTAATCATTATTCCAATGTTCTGTAAGTTTCCCTGCCAAACTTTATTTATAGGAACCAAAATTTTTATGACCTTATTAACTCTATTGAATTAGCAACAACCAACTGTGGGAAAGAACAAACCAAATCCCAGCGGAGGAATAAATTAGGAAGAAGCGTTGGAAGTGAATAGGACACATATTCAGGAAAGCACCCAACTGCGTCACAAGACAAGCCCTCACATAGAATCCTCAAGACCAAAGGAAAACAGGAAGACCAAAGAACACATTACCACGGGAAATAGAGATAGACGTGAGAAAAATGGACAAGAATTGGATGGAATTAGAAAAGAAGGCCCAGGACAGAGTGAGTTGGAGAATGCTGGTCGGCGGCCTATGCTCCATTGGGAGTAACAGGCGTAAGTAAGTAACTCTATTGAAATCTTAGTTACATCATTATACACATATATTGATCTTTCATCACCCTCGTGTGTATCAGTATGTCAATATCTGTAATAAAGTTGATTTTCAAATATTTTAGGTTGTAAGCAGCTGATGAGAACCTAATGAAATATAATGAATTCATACTATTCTGCATCAATCTTCGTTCTTGCTCTCATTAAGATATATACGTGTAATTAGAAAAATTAGCTTTTTTTTGTGACATTCGTTGATTACTAACAAAGTTTGAATAGGTTCAACTTCATTGTAAATATAATATTTTTTTGATTTTTATTAGATTTATACTTTTACCAGCTGAAACACGATTTGTTCCGATCATCTTAAACATAGTTTCTTATAACATTGAAATACTACTAGATTTTTTTTTTAAACCATAGATCAAAACGACAAGTTATTTGTGATTTCTGTCTTTTTATTACTTTTAAAACGATAGCAGCTATGCTACAAACAATTTGCATGATGGTTAATTTTGGTTAACCCCTTTTGTTATTCACTTACTTAACAGACAATGTTATTAGAACAGTAACAATTCGCATATTTCTTTGTACCGTTATGATCACTAGATTACATGACAGACTGTAGATAAAATGTTCATTGCTTAAATAACACTCGATGGTTCATTTTAATCCCCATGTATATATGTACTAAAGTCTTAATATTAGCTTTTGCTTTGGTTTGCTTTGCTATGCCCTAATGTGATTTGACTATAAATTTGTCTATATAACTACTCGTATATACATATTCACTTCCACTTCAAATTCAAATGCGTTTGATATGCTTATAATTTTGTGTTATTTGTTATCCTCAAATAAATTGTAGTTGCCTCTTCATATTGTCTACTAATTTCAAATACCGCTGAAATTTACATAATAACGATTACAAGGGTGATAGATTAATCAAAGTAAAACCACTACAAAACGTCTAATGAATAAAGCCTATCGTATTTTGCAACAACAAAACCACAACAAAAAACTGATCAAAACAATTACAACAATTTGTTTACCTACCGATTATGCAAGCAAATTTATAAATTAGATTAGCTTAATGAAGATTAATAACGTTATAATAATACAAATTACATGACTGATTTGTTAGTGTATTTAATAAAGTAAATAAAATAACTTTGGTATTAATTTAAGTAATAGAGAAATAAAGAAAAAAACTGGTAAATAATATAAAGTATTCATTATTGTATAAAGTAAGCATATTTAAAACCTTTAAAGTATAAAGTCTGTGTACAATATTGTTTTGTTTTAATGTTGCAATTTAATTTATAATAATTTTGTGGAGATTTTAGTAAGTTCAATAGTTGAATTTATAAGTAAATTGAAGCTAGACCACCATGGAAAACCTGGAAGCACTGGATGGCCGTTTCTTCCTATTACGGGACTCCTCAGCAGTGCACATCCACGATCTCACCCCCCACAAGTTTGGAACCCAGAACCTATCAGTTTAGTGCGCTTAAGCATACTATAACGAAATGGCCATCCAGTGCATCCAGGTTTTCCGTGGTGGCTTAGCTTCAATTGAGTCATGGTTTAAACTAATTTTATCCATTTGAATTATAGGTTAATGAATGGATTATGTGTGATAAAGTTATCTTTCATAAATGTAATTAGATATTAATAAAAAATTTGATATAAGGAAAATACTTAAATCCTCGAAAAAAATTTCATAATAGTTACGAATTAGTGGAGTGTAACTAAGTAATAGATAAAATCAAATTGATATGTTAATAATGGGTATGTGAAGATTGTTGAGTTTTTATTAGGATCATGTTGTACCATTATTGAAAACCTGTAACTACTAAATAGCCGTTTTAGGATTTCTTAATAATGCGTATCCATGATCCTATAGGTGGGATTCGAACCTAGAACTTTTGGTCTCTTGTACAAACGTTTAACTTTTAGACCACTGAGCTGGAATTCAACGGTGTTAATATACTTCCAAATTTTTAACAGTGATCTAATGTTGATCAATTCATGATCTCAAACAACTAGATAGTTATTAAACAATACTTAATAATTTACTCTTTAGTAAAGATTTTATTTCTGTCTAAGAATAAACTAAACAAACTTAAACGTGTCCATAATTTCAATCAAGAATAACAATTTTATATAAATCATATCAATCTGGATTTAGTTAACAATATCAAAATGATATAAATCACCTCTGTCTTTATTTACCTTAATTCTGGACAAATCACAATAAATTTACTTAATCATTCATCAAATTACCATTATTATTATCATTATTCTCTTCTACTAATATAATACTGAATGTTTATCTTGTTATTCAGTAAATCATTTAGATGATATCAGAGAATAATTTGAAGTGTATTCTTGAATGAAATTAATATTGTCTTACAAATTTATCTTTATAGTATCTTATTGTCAATCCAATATAAGAGTTATAATATATATATATATATATACCCCTATCAATACTACTTATATAATCATTTAAATACTATATTATCTTATAACTTCATAAATTATAATTTCATTTTAATATTATTGGAAGTTTGTAATTGGAAAATGTAAACTAAACAGTCTTAACTATTGTCACTATTCACTTTATATTGTAATTTGATAATAATAATAATATTTATATATAACCCTATTCAATAGTCCTTTTGAAGTGTTCTAAAGTTATGATTATTATTGTTATTTTAAAATTACTACTACTAATACTACTTAATTTTTTTAGTAAAAATAGTTAAATGTCATTTTTTCTATAATTGACATAAGTAAATACCAATATGTGATAATAATGTAAAGAAGTACATAACTTGTAGTCCCATAATTGTTGTCTAATGATTTATACGTCTATTATTGAAGTATCTAATAGCTTCATACAATGAATGATATCTTGGATTTTTAAAAATGAATACAAAATTCATTGGATTTGAGTTCTGGTGATTATTTTTTTCCAATCATTTATCTTAATACTATAGGTTAATAAATTCACTTGATGTTGTTATACTGGTATCTTTTTATTGTTATTTACGAATACGATTTCTAAGCCATTTGTTGGCGTATGTGCATCCTGTGCGGCTTGTCTCGATGATAGTTTAACTTTGAGATGCAGGTATATCCAGCTGACGAGACCTAGGTAGGATGAAACGCGTGTCAAACTGGATTCCACTACTAGACACAATCTGTCTCTGCTTAAAAATCTTTTTACTTAAGGCTACATCGAGGCAATCCGTACAGGATGCACATACACCATCAAGAAACTGAACAATTGTAATCCTAAATACCAATAAGAAGATACAAGTAAAACAACACCAAGTGAATTTAAGCTTCACCACATTATACAAGCAGGTGGCTATCAGGACTCACTAGCTAAATGGATAACGTGATGGCGTTTGAAGCGAACAGTACTGAGTTCGAGTCTCGGAGTGGACATCAAATCTGGGATGCAGGCATATCTAGCTGACGAGTCCCAAACAAGACGAAACGCGCATCAAACTGGATCCCACTGCTAGCCACTACCCATCTTTACTAAAGGTTATTGCTTAGGTAATGTAGCTTACAAATTTTATAAGTATCATTTGTGAAGGCTTTATGTTAACCATTATTGAAACACCATTTTTAAATAGAAAACATACTAAAGTTAAGTGATTTTCTATTTATACCTGATAATGGTTTTAGTTTATAAGTAAAAATGTGCAATAACACTTTTTTAAAATATATTTACCTCTTTAGGTAGACATGAATGGTATTAATGCTACAGTGTTCGTTTATAGTATGTTACATGAATCTTAAATCTTAATAAAGTTCTGTGACATAATCTGATTTCTAATACATCTCGCGTTCACCTCATTTAATTCACTGTGTAAATTATACTGAAACAAGCATGGTATATCATTAAAAATAAAAGTGAATAACAAGAAAAATTTCTATAAATTCTATCGTTTCTAAACTCTACATTTTAAAGTTTTTAAACAATCACTATTGAAATAAAGCAAGATGAACGAGATTTGCATAACAGTATGAATTTTATATAATTCAAGGCTTCTCATCAGTTAAGAACGACCTGAATTTACAATAGTAACATTTTCATAACATCATGAACTGATCAATGATAGACAACCATTGGAAACTCGGAAGCATAAGACGGCCGTTAACTCCCAGTATAAGACTTCTCAGCAGGGCATATCCACAATCTTTTGCGTGATCGCTTAATCTCTAGATAAAAAAACTGATATTCAAAAGAGTTAATGTCTAACTTAAGTCATTCCTTCCGTTGCTTCCACGTTTTAAATGGAGGTCTAACTTAGATTGGTATATGATTTTAATGAAATTCAACAATCTTAATAACCCCATACTGACAATACTAATATTGAAACATCATAAGAAACGAGAAAAGGGAACAATATATTTACCATAACAGGTAAACAGGTAAGACTGACTAGTTATTATATCAAAAGTTTTTGTGGACACTATAGTTGAGAACATGAGACAATTGATTCTATATCACTATTGAAAACCTGGAATCACTGAATACTAATCACTGATATTATTCGACATATGCTAACTAGTGACTGGCTTCAAGAGGTATTTCCTGGAGTTCTAATGAGAAGCCGTGACAAGTGGGGTTCAACCGGGTCTATTGTGAGGTAGTAAGTTGCTGAAGGCAATGCTGGACGGTGGCTCAATTTGGCGGATTGGTTAAGGTTACAAAGTAACATCGTTAGATACCGACTCAATGGTCTAAAGGCTAAGCATCCACGCTTGAGACCGATAGGTCCTGGTCTCGCAGGGCAGGATCATGGATGCACACTTCTAAGGAGTCTTGTACTGGGACGAAACGGCTGTTCAATGGTTCCAGATTTTCCATGGTGATCTAGCTTCAATTGACTCATGATCTCAACTATTGAAATTAATATTTATATATTGAAGATAAAGTCATGCAAAGAAATGATGAGTGAATACTTACTTTATATTTATAACAAAACTATAATCCGTTCATAGTTTCCTTGAAAAAATATTTAAAAGGTAACTTTAAAAACTTTCTTAACTATTTTTGTAACCATTGTATTTAGTATGCCAAATGTTAAGTGGACATATTATAATGCAGTATTAGAAAACGATTGGTATTTGAACATTTATTCGACATTCAACAGTGTGATAAGAAAAAAATAGAAAAATCAAAAGTTGAAAAAAATAAATCATTTTCTTACTTTTTTGTTTACTTGATGCTCTCCATAATGTATTTTGTACTATTTCCTCTTTGACATATTCATCATTTAATTTTGTCATATCCGGTTCATTCTTCTGAGCTAAATTTTTTTGTTTGTTTGTTTTTGGTTAAAGATTTATATATAGACAATTGAACCGGTCAGTTTGATTTTTAAACGTCATAGGTGAACAGAAATAAATCGATTAGCATTTGATGCATAAATTGAAAAAAACTAATGTTAAACAGTATAAATACATAAACTAGGAAAATTTTTTTTAGAAATTTCTGATTAGAACCAGTTTAACGTTGGTTCCAATGAGAATATCTTTTTTATTTCAAAAGTAACAAGATGTAGTCAAATCGAATCGTCTGTTGTATAAATTTAAATATTTGCAAGTTATCAACATATCTGATTCTTCATTCTTCCTCAGAAAGTCAGAACATAACTTAAACATTTACGTTTTTGATTAAGATCACAAACTGATTGATGTTAGACCACCATTGAAAAGCTGGAAGCACTGGACAATCGTTTCGTCATAGTATGGGATTCCTGGAAAGTCCGAATCCACGATCCCACACGCAGCTTTCGAACCCAAGGCCTTCGGTCGCACGCGCGAATACATAACCTCTAGGTCACTGAGTCGGCATCCAATAGTGTTGATGTCTAACTTCATTCAACCCACAAAATTGAGCAATCATCTTCCATTGTACTGAGGTAGATACCTATTTCCACCTGATTTGGATTAACTTCACTGGTCATGACTTCTCATTAGAACTCCGAGAATTCCCTCACGAAGCTAGTTACTAGTGAGCACACTGCGGAGGATTTTCATAATAGGATGAAACGGCCTCTCAGCTCTTCCAAGTTTTCAATGGTGGTCAGACATCAAATGGTTCAAGATCTCGATAAAAAACCTAATAATCTGTAGAACCCCACACTGATAAATAAAAATTCAAGTTAGCCGGATAGTAAAATAGTATTCATTAAAGAAAATGATTAAAATTGGTTAGCAAACAAAGATTGAACTTTGTACATTTATTAAGATATTCGTAAAAAATGATGTAAAATTATTAGATGCTACTTTAAATTCGTACTTATTTCTTAATTTCCAAATGACCCAGCACTTTATTCATTAAAACACGAGTGAAAAACCTAGTGTATATAATCAGTCAACGTAATACACAACACAAAAGTAACAGCAAATCTACTGCTCAACTTTAAAAAAGTTTTTCAGAAATAAGTAACTTTCACAAATCTAACAGTTTTCTCAATACCTTACTTTATCTTAGAGTTGTATCCAAGTTTATGTTACAGTAACGCTTCATAATCTATGCTTTCATAGGATAGTAACATTAAACGTTAGTAACCATTGACGGTACTCAACAGTTTTATTTACCAATCATTTTTTTGAGACGTATTAGCTCATTTCACTACATTTTTGTGTTAATTTGGTTGTGAATAATAAGTAGTTACAGAACATAGAAAACTTTCTGCCGTGTTTACGACTGACCGGCTGAATGCAACAACATTTATGAGTTGTTAGTTGAGTCCGCAGCAAAGCACATAACTCAAAGGTAATCAGTGCTAACGATATTAGTTTTATTCTATGTTAATATAACTACATATTTCAGTGATTCAACCGATGAGCTCGCAACTAAACTAGACGTGTATTATGTACAATGATACTATTAACGTCACATAACATTCAGAATTCAATATATGTTTACCACCACTTGATTAGTTTTTGCTAAGTTGTCTTATAATGATAACTGTCTCGATTTATAATATTAGTAAAACGCTTTAATTTTAAAGGTTTTGGTTATTCTATTTTTAAAGAAAAATTTGTTATAGCTTCATTTACGTTTCCTTAAAATAACATCAATCTTATCTTGATTATCATAAGGATGTGAGTACGTAAGATATTTGTCTTTTGTTTACATTCTCTAATCTCAGTCTTGCATAAAAATACTATATATATATATATATATATATATATATATATATATATATATATATATATATATATATATACAACATCACTATGTACTTATCAAGTATGTGAACAAAATAAGATAATATAACATGTGATTACGTATATTTTATGCCTACAGTAGCTGTATAAAGTATGAATAAACTAGTTTAGCAGCCATAAATATTAGACGTAATACTATGGTAAAGTAAATCTTTCAAAAAAAGTAGTTGATAGACATGATAACATACCGATAACTTTGAGGTAGAAAAATTTCTCTTTTATGGTGGCTAGATTAATTTGACAAATATATGTTCCACTATCAGTTTCAGTAACATGAAAGATCATCAGTGTCCAAGATCCAGGATCGGTACGATCAATTTCATAACGAGGAAGTGATATTTCATTACCTACTGTTAGTGGTGTCGGCAAATCCTCTTTCCACCATGACATCTATAAAAATATTAACATTTTAATTAAATATCAGTTAGTGGTTAATGGAGATAAACAATAAAAAAGAGTTTAAAAACATGACATTTACAGTTAGCAACTTTATGAGTGATATATGCAAAATTTCATATTGAATTAATTTAAACGAAATCATATTTTATTTTACTTATTCCGCAACTCAATATTTCTATGCTGGAAATTCATATTCATCCATATAAAAAACATATAACCAACTTGAATTATTATTATTTATTTTAACACATAGATATTGGTACAAGAAGGCACCAAAAACATATGCGCCACACAAATCTAATTTGATTTGTGTGAAGGATGTGATACTGCACGGGTGCCCAAATAGTAGCAGGTGGTTATCTTAGGGGGCCACACTAGGAGCCTTCGACATGAAGGTCTGATCCACAAGGCAGTGGAGCAACGTAAGGAGGTGCAGTCACACGGCAGCCGGTGACCAATGATTGGTTTATACGCCATTTGTTCCTTTGGGATACTGGAGCCCATATGCACCATTGGTTTGGAATCAGGGTTTTTCATTTCCCCTAGGTGGACTCTCCATGTCCACCAGCCTGGTTAAAGCGTCGGACATTCGCTTTTCGTCCTCTCAATTTCGTAAACAACAACCAACTTGAATGAATAGAAAGGTTAAGCACTAATCTATTTCTAGTATGTAAAATATTTAATATCAAATGAAATTTAAAGATAAATGAACAGAAGTCCTTTTCCTACAGTTGCTCAAGATGTCGCATTTCAGTAGAGTCTATCTAAACTCTTGTAAATACTGATATCAATATGACCCTCTATCACAGACATAGATAGTACTGTCTGAGCATTTTGGCTATAGCTGACCTCTCTAAACCTGAGATAATCATACACATTAAGCAATTAACAAAGTAGTAGACTAAATTTGATCACCACTAATGACTTAGAAAACACGATTTAATGGTCAATTAGTGTAAAAGATTTGTTTTTGTGAAAACGAAGAAACTACAAAATTAATCTTTTTCAAAATTATTCTTTACGAAATCAAATAAAAGATGGATATTCTAGAAAGCTCTTATTCTTGTATGAATCTAATACCCCTTGTGAACAATATATTTTCTTAAGAAAACAATAATTATTAGTTTACATTTCGTTTACAACATTTTTAGTACTCATTCCTGGAAATTCCATCGAACTGGATTTTGATAATTAACGAATTCGGTTTCAAATAAAATACTGCAATTTATTGCGTTACTTCGGTTTTAAAACTGTTTATATGTAGTCAAACATATTGTTCTCAAAACACTCTATGTATAGGTAATAAACTTAATTATTTAGTTTAAAATATGGTGATGGGTTAAGTTATTTAGTTTTAGCATGAGTTTTGTATTATTTTTAACAGATTGTTGATTAACAATAATGAATCATTCTTTTACCAAGCAAAGAGGAATAGTGACTAGCGTTTCGTCTTATTTGGGACTCTTCAGCTGGATGTACCTGTATTCTAGAGTTGATGGTTACTGTGGGACACAAACCCAGTAACTTCACAAAATGATACAAGCAAACAATACCAAATGAATTCTTACACTAAGTATATAAAATTACTTAAAATGCTGTTTCACCATTAAATAGTTTTCAAACACCAACAGTTTTAACTATTTTTGTTTGCCAAATTCCACTTATTATCACTTGAATTTGAGAAAAAGTTAACTTGGTGAATAAATATGATTTTTTTTTCAAAAAATTAAAAAACTATGTACACTTAATGAGGATTAAAAACATTTTGTCATTTGAATCATTTATTAGATGATTCAAAATATGACTAACATTTAAATAAATAAGCGATATTTTGCTTATTAACCTCTTTTCATTTTTAATCAGAATAGGAAAGAGAGTAAGAACAAAGATTTGTGAAGAATAATATGAATTCATATTATTCTGTACCGATATTCAGTTTTGCTCTCCATAAGATAACAGAGGAAACTATGTGTACAAAATAACTGTCAACCAACAACAAAGTCAGAATTTTTATTACAAAAGTCAAAACAGTTCTAAGGTATGGATCAGAAACTTTGGGATCTATGAAGATACAAGTGTTTATTAACAGTTGTCTATGCAACATACTTCTGATCCGTTGACCAGACACCATTAGCAACAACAACCTACTGTGGGAGAGAACAAACCAGATCTCAGTGGAAGAAGAAATCAGGAAGGGGCGTTGGAAGTGGATAGGACACACATTGAGGAAAGCACCCAACTGTGTCACAAGGCAAGCCCTCACATAGAATCCTCAAGGCCAAAGGAGAAGAGGAAGACCAGAGAACAAATTACGCTGAGATATGAAGACAGGCAATGAGAAGAATGAACGAGAATTGGATAGAACTAGAGAAGAAAGCCCATTTTAGTGTGTGTTGTAGAATGCTTGTCAGTGGCCTATGCTCCATTGGGAGTAACAGGCACAAGTAAGTAGGTATGTATGTAAAATATGAAAGAATAAATTTTGAAATGATCTAATAATAAACAAATAAAATTGCAATGGTTGAAATCATGAGTCGATTGAAGCTAAACCACCATGGAAAACCTGGAAGAACTGGACGACTGTTTCGTCCTAGTATGGGGCTCCTCAGCAGTGGGCATCCACGATCCCGCCCCCCGCCAGATTCAGACCCAGAAGATATCAACTCACTGAAGACAATGGTATGCGGTGATGCAGCTTCGTGTATTGGTTGAAGTTAGACATTAACATCGTTGGATGGAGGCTTAGTGGTCTAATGGTTAGGCGCTCGCGCACGGGACTGGTAGTTCTTGCGTTCGAATCACGCGGTTGTTGGGATCGTGGGTGTGCACTGCTGAGGAATCCCATACAAGGACGAAACGGCCGTCCAGTGCTTCCAGGTTTTCCATGGTGGTCTAGCTTCAATCGACTCATGAATTCAACTATTGATATTACTAAAATCTCCACAAAACCCCTTCTGAAAATAAAATTGCATTAGATAGAAAACCAAAATAATCACTAGATCAAAAAACTTTACATTAACATAACTTTACTATTCTTTATTTATTTATTCACTAGTTAATAACTAGTTAGGTTATATTCAATTTCTAGTTTATTTAATCCTATTGAAGTTTTACATCTATTTATATTCTGACTAAAACAACTTAATCCTCTCTTCTATCAAAAAACAAAAAAATCTGGCTTATATATGTATAAAAGTATTTCAGTTACTTTAGAAAATATCTGCTTATATTTAAATAAGAACATTTTAATTGTTTAATACAATCAGTTGATATGACACTAACTGGTATTAGACAAAAGAAAAAACAGAATGAAAAAGAATTAAAAGAAGACTTTATTTTAACTAATCTATTAAAAACTGCCTTAATAACTATATATATATATATATATATATATATATATATATATATATATGAATTAAATACAATAACAATTTTAATCATAATAGAGAAGGATTTATTTTAGTAAATAAACGAAATCAAAGTATCAGTATGAAGTTGTGGAGATTATTGAGTTTTTGATTAAGATCATGAATTGATTAATGCTAGAACACTATTGAAAATCTTGAAGCACTGAACAGCCATTTCGTCTTAGTCTGGGATTCCTCAGAAGTCCAAATCTACGATCCCGCACGTAAGTTTCGAACCCATGACCCTCAGTTTTGCGTGCGAATACATAACCTCCAAACCACTGAGCCAGCATCCAATAGTGTCAATGTCTAACTTCATTTTATCCAAAAAATTGTGCCATCATCTTCCACTATACTGAGGTAAATACCTATTTCTACCTGGATTAACTTCACTAGTCATGATTCCTCACTAGAACTTCGAGAATTCCCTCACGAAGCTAGTCAATAGTGAGCATATGTTAATTATTAGTATGGCATTGTGTAGTGTATTATATGATTTCTGGTATCCTATTTTCTATGCAATGGCTTGATCTATTTAAATTTAATATCATTTTGGAATTCATCAGTTACAAATAATGATTGACACTGACTGACATGAGTTTAAACGAAATTTGATTTTTATTTTATTTTATAGGTAATTTCAGGATTACTTTTTTAGGATTCAGTACAGTATTCAGTGTTTCAACGTATTTAAAATACATTTTCTTTTTTACATGAAAAATTTTCAAGTTATTTGAACATATCATTAAAAAAATATTTCTCTCTTATATTCACTTAGGAAGAATTACTTTTAACCAGGTCTATATCATGCAGTTTTAATCAAACAATGTATACTTGATGAGGTGTTGTATACCATTTCAATAAATAACCAACGTCATGTACAAGTGAATAATCAAACCTCTGACGAAACATTTCATAGAAGAGCAGTTAAACAATCATTACACATTATTTCTCTGTGAGATAGTAACTAAGTGATGACAATGGTGGATGTGTTGCTCAATTTCTTTGATTAGTTGAAGTTAGATATTAACAACGTTGGATGCCGTCTCAGTGGTCTAGTGGTTAAGCGCTCGCGCGTGAAACTTATAAGTCCTAGGCTCGAATCTCACGAGGCGGGTTGGTGGATGCGTACTTTCGAGGAGTCCCACAATAGGACGAAACGGCCGTTCAGTGCTTGCAGGTTTTCCATGATGGTCTAGCTTCAACTGACTCATTATCTCAACTATTGATATATATGAGATGCTTATTAGCAAATACATTTGGAATAGTAATTTTCTAATTAAACCTGCTTCTTTCACAAGTAGAACAATTTAGAAGCCACTTATATGAATTTTATATAGCATACGATATAAAATAATATAGATATTTCTTCTTATAGAAAATATTATTTAATTATTCTTCATGAGCAACTAGTATTATGTCATGTGTGAAGCTATCTGAATAATTAAGTTTATTTTGACTAATAAAGATATTAGAATATTCGTCTATACATGAAATGACCCAGTTTGACCTGAAGGAAAATAATAATATATGCAAGCAGAGCAGATGATTACATCCTTACCTTGTTGATTAATAAAACAATAATGTGTTTTTCACTTCATTTTATTTCTCTATATTAAAAGAAATATGTAATGTTATCATAAACATGATAATATTTAAGTGTTATTATGTAGAAGTACTACTTATTCTAATTCATGACTTCATGAATATGGACTATCGTTTATATATTTATATCTGTATATATAATGATTATGCTTATGTATATATGTATATACACTATAGAGATGTAATTAAGTCATGTTATAGTATGTAAAGACTAATTATCTTATTAAATCAGGTCACTTCATATATATTATCATACTTCCTGTTTGATAATTATTTATCAGAATAATGCTGTTAATTAAATTGTAAGAAAACAATTTCCCTAATATTTCTAAAATAATATTTTTCTTTGTTTTATGTAACACCTTTAAATTAATTTAATTTTAATACTTGAATTCATGAGTCCATTAAAGCTAAACCACCACCGTGGAAAACCTCGAAGCACTGAACGGCCGTTTCATCCTAGTATAGGACTCCTTAGTAGTACGCATTCATGATACCACCTCGCGAAACTCAAATACAGAACCTATCAGTTTTGCGCGCGAACGCTTCATCTCTAGACCACTAAGCCGGCCGGCATCTAACAGCATTAATGTCTAACTTCAACCAACTCACCGAATTACTTCACGTTCAACATTGTCTTCAGTGAGTTACTATCTCAAAACAGACCCAAATGAACTCCACTAGTCACTCCAGGAAAAACTCTTGCAGACAGTCACTAGTGAGCGTATGATTATAATCAGAAAGGGACTTTGTGAATATCTCGCTAGGCGGAATCGTGGATGCGCACTGCTGAGCAGTTCCATACTAGAACGAAATTGCCGTCCAGTGCTTGCAGGTTTACCATGGTGGTCTGGCTTCATTTGACTCATGAATTCAACTATTAGACTATTATAATACCCGAGAAATCCCTCTCTGATTATAACTTAATCTCTTTTTAAAGATTTTATACGACGCGGAGTATAAAGACGTCAGTAAAAGTGAAAATTATATTTATAATAATTTCAGTGATTGCAATTTAAAATAATCCCAATGTTTCGTCTAGCAAACTTATCTAGACTTCTTTAGGATAATAATCAAAATTATTAAAGAAATATGTAGCAAACAAGAACAGCCTGAACCAAAAGGATGGTGTTGAACTAGCGACTAATTGGCAAATATTCGTTGACAAGTAATTACACCGTTTTGTTTATTCAACCTTTTTGTTTCACTGGCATCGTTATTTTGACTGAAATTAATATGAGGTATTTTGACCAATACAATCATGTATTTGTTGATATTCATTTTACATACACATCAATGATTCAACAACAGTATTCAGACATTTATTTTCACAACGTGAACTTTTCATATGATTCGCATTTAATTGACTCATATTATCCTATTTACTAGAAATCAACATCCAATTATGATTGGATTAACACAGCATAGATTTGATCTAATTTGATTGTTAAAACACTATATATTTTCCTTTGATGATTTTGATTCTGATTATCGTCCTGAAGAAGTCCAGACAAGTTAGCTTGATAAAACATTGGAATTATTTCAAATTTCAATCGCTGAGATTATTTCAAATATAATTTTCACATATTAAGCCAAACTATTTTTAATGATCAATCTACAGGATTTTGAAATATCTTTAAATCTTACTTGAAGTTGGAACTTTCTTTTTTAATACTGTGTGCTAACAAGATATTGTAACATAATAAAGTTGTGGACGAGACTCTAATGTATGGACGACCTTTGAACGAATTTTAAGTGACCTTGAGAAATATCAAGCAATCAGCAAACAGTCAGTATAGAGTAAAAATATGTTATACGAAACCAAGGAAATAAAGTGGATACACTTCTTATACGTAGTTCAAAAACTTGTCAAGGTTAGAAAGAGGTTCAGAGGTTCTAAAATCGTAATGCATGCAGTAGAGGAAATCATCCATACGGCTACAGAATAGTCGGCCTCTGGAGCCATCATAAAGTGTCGAAAACTCTTTCAGTGTCGACCATATAGCTTCAATATTGTTTATTTGCACTCCAGTTGTTGAGTGCACAAAATGCTACTTGTGGGTAACAACACGATGCACCTAACCAAGCCTATGTGGGAGTCTGTACACTCTCCAAACATTCGTATACATTGTAGTACCTGGCTGCAACCAGTGTTACTGGTGCTTTTATTATCCAGTTCGCGATAATTGTCGTAATTTGCCTTAGTTGATTATATATGGGGTTTCCATCACGAACTGACATCAGCTATAATGCCAGAAATTTATTTAACCAAATGAATGAAAGACTTTCGTGCCAAAATCAGAGATCTGTCATCTTATACCTGAATGATTCGTCCACCAATTATAGTCTCGCCGTTTTATTTTTTAAAGCCGCTAAATTATCACGTCTTGTACAAAATACGTTATCATTAAGCACTGAAGTTGGCGCCGTAACCTTGAAACCTCTAAGACGCCTCTGATTGGCTCGTTCATAAATTAGAGTCTCGCCAAGTTGTTTTAGTCAGTAAACCATGTAAAATATATAAACATACATCTCAAAATTGAACATTTTTCTTTTAGTTTTAAGAATGAAACGATCAATAAAACATTCATTTACATTTGATTAGCTCAAACAATTGTGAATAAAGTTCATTTGTACTAAATGGATGGAATAAGTAACAAATATTATCCATGTTTTTCTTTCTAAAATATTGATTGCATTTATCTATTAACCAAGTAAAAATATAATAAAAATGTCATTATATGACATCTATGTACTATTGTTATACGTCATATTCTAAAATATCAATAAAATATACCGTTTTTCTTTCTGATAAATAAAACAATGTTTTCTGAAAACAATAAATTAAACACTAATTTATTCTCTTTCACAACTAGGAAAAGATTCGTTGACACATTAAAAAATTACTCAAACGATATAGTTTTCATATACATAGATAATCAATTACAATGATTTTGATGGAGTTTTATTCTTTGAGCTGGATGGTTTGATCGTGGAGCTTTCATTATTCTTCTGAACAACATCATCAGCACAAACTTCAGATAGAAGTGATGTGTTCGAATTTCGTCATATACGTTTCACAGCTTGTTCTGTACACCTCGATGTGGATTGGTTCTTATTGACTTTAAATTTGTCATTGTTTACTTCTTTGTTTTGGTTGCGTTTCCCATTGGTTTGACTTTTGTTCGCATATTTGTGCATGATTTTCCTGATTGGTTGATAAATTAGATTGATTTTAATATGCTTGTTAATTGCTCATTGACCTGAGTGCCAGGCTTCTGAAATTTCTCTGGCGTTTTTGGAATTTCCTCTGTCCAAGATTTCCACATGTTTCCAATCGAATGAAAGTGTTCATCCACCCCAGCTACAAATCTTCTCTACCATCTCAATCATAATGATTATTTATTGTTTTAACATGACTATAAAGTTGGATATCATTCAATCATTTATTTACCAGATAAAATTTCAACCATTCGTTTCTCAGGTTATTTTTGTTTCATTTATTATTACATATTTTTTTGCGATCTTCTAGATAAGAAATCACGTTATGTATTATTGATCCGTTGGTTGATATTGTTGGCCATTATCAATCTTTTCATATTCAAATCTCTTATTAGCATTTATCTAATCACTGAAAAATTCTCATCATATAAAAACATAATTAATATGAATCAAGAATATTCTTTTCAATAACTTCTCATCAAGTTCCAAATTTAGAATACGTAAAATTGACCAGATTTGAGACAGAGTATATGGCTGACAATTGTAATATATGAATGAAGAATTGTTGTTTGTTATATAAAATCAAATCGTTAATTTCAGAAGTCAAAGCATTGTATCCCAAAGAAATATGTTCAGCCGCTCCTTTTACCCTGGCCAACTAGTTAATAATCAATCTTATAGTATAGTGACGTATTCTGACTAATGTTAATTTTTATGTCCCAAACTTATTATTATTATTATAGCAACCAACCCTATGTACTATATCTGATCTAATTCATCTTATTCTACATATTAGGTAATTTCTGATTGGTGATTACATTATTCTCTCTCTCTCACTCTATGTTGACCATATTTAACCTGGTCATCATCTAATCATTATAGCTAATGTTTACTATTACAATATTTTTTTTAAAAAAAAAAGAGAGAATTAAATGTTGTCAAGACAATAAACTTACAACAGTTGAAGAAAAATCAATATTTTTTACTTTACAAGGAATTCTAGCTGTATTATTTATAATTGAAGTGATATATACAGATTGATTTGGATCAAAATATGGTTCATTTATATCATTCTTATTGGATAATAATGAAGATGATAATTGTTTTGTTATGATAGACTGTGAATTATGAGATTGTTTTAAATTATTTGTAAATATATTTGATAATGATTTTGTTTGTAATGATAAATTAGATTTATATGTACTAATATATGGATTAGAATGTTTTTGTTTTTCTATTTGGTTATTATAGAAATGATTATTTCAATTATGTAATCATTCGACTTTGTTGTAAATAAATGTTTATTACTTATATTCATGTAATCATTTATTGTTTTTATAGAACGTTTTCTATTATTCATCATATTTAATCTAATTGGAATAGATTTATTACGAACAGGTTTATTATTAATAAATTCTACTAAATATTGTTTTTCTGTTAGATATGAATTATTGAATTGTTTTTCAGGTAATATAAATAGCATATAACATGTTATGATTGTTAGAATATAAAGATTTACACCCGTTGAACAGATCGCCATCCATATACAATTATTCGAATATAGAATGTCATGAAGAACTGATTGAAGAATACAACCGTCTATAGATAGGTAAAATAATTTTTAAAAAAAAAGTTTTTTAAAGAAATTCATCAGGAAAAAATGATCAATAATAATAATAATTCAAATGATGTAATTGTACTAGTGCGGTGTTTTCTAGTTTAGAGAGGAAAAATCTCAGCCAATATAGGATCTATGGACGAACTCATCACGACACCATCTATTTGTCTATAGATTTCATCACTGAATTTGAAATGTATATTCATAGTATATTTTGGTAGTAATTTTTCGTTTATAATGAGAATTGTTCAGCGAATAATAATTCATTAAATAGTTATTATCATTATGCCAATTAAATGTGAGTAAATTAGTGGTAACTATAAGAAAAATATTTTATAGTTAAGTAAAATGTCTCAACTTTACCAAATAGATAGATTCGTAGAATGAAATAAAAAGTTCTGGCGAAAAAAACGGTATACTGATTTATAACTATCCCTTTTAATACGGCAATCCAATCATACTTGACTGAGAAACCGTGGAAGATGTGGAATCCCTCATGTACCTGGGGAGCATCATTGATCAACAAAGAGGATCGGATACAGACGTAATGGCAAAGATTGGCATAGCAAGTGGAGCATTTTCACAATTGAAGAACATATAAAACTCAAAACAAATGTTTGTCAACCAATATCAAAGTCACAATCTTCAAAACGAACGTCAAGACAGTTCCACTATACGATGCTAAAATTTCGGGAACTACTACAACCATCATCAAGAACGTACAAGTATTTATGAATAGTTGTTTGTGCAAGATACTCAATATCCATTGGCCGGATACCATCAACAACAGTCTTCTGTGGAAGAGAACAAACCAGCATCCAGTTGAGGAGGAAATTAAGAAAGGATGATGGAAGTGGATAGGACATATATTACGGAAATCACCAGACAATCGCTAACTTGGAATCCTGAAGGGAGGCGGAAAAGAGGAAGGCTTAGGAAGAGATTACTTTGGGATATAGAAGCAGACATGAAAAGTGTGAATAGCAACTGTAAAAATTTGCAAAAGATTGCCCACGACAGGGTCAGATGGAGAATGCTGGTGGGCGGCCTATGCTCCTCTACGAGGAGTAACAGGAGTAAGTAAATAAGTAATTTTTTATTATGTAAACAACTACTAGTTTCAAAGAAATAGGTTTCAATCATATTCTGGTTGTTTGAGTGATTTCACTATACATATATATATTCGCTTTTTCTCTTAACAATTTAGATTTATAACATACATTCTTACGTAGTGGATTGAATCAAAATTATTTTCGCAGTTTGGTGCCTAACTAACCTTTCAATAGTAAATAACTGGCAAAAGCTTAATGAAAATTAGGCCTATCGCTCGAAGTGAAGACCGGTGTCAGGTGAGGTTGCTTACACTTACCTTTTCTCATTCTCCTGGTGATCGACTGAACTGAAAAGACGTCAACATCTGGGGGGAAGCATGGGATACAGTAGACAACTAGGACGCAGCTGCACGATCTAGACTTCACAGATGATCTGGCTCTTTTATCGCAATCGCAACAACAAAGGCAGGAGAACACGATCAGTGTAGCAGCAGCCTCAGCTGCATTTGGTCTCAACACATACAAAGGGAAGGACAAGATCCTCCGATACAACACGGCATGTACCAATCGAATCACAATTGATGGAGACGATTTGGAAGATGTAAGTCCTTTACACATTTGGGCAGCATCATTGATGAACACGATGGATCTGATGTAGAAGTGGAAGCGCGGATCGGCAAAGCAAGAGCAGCATATCTACAACTGAAGAACATCCTGAACTCAAAACAATTGTCAAACAACACCAAGGTCACCATTTTCAATACAAATGTCAAGACAGTTCTGCTGTATGGGGTGGAAACCTGGAGAACTACGAAAGCCATCATCCAGAAGATACAAGTGTTTATGAACAGTTGTCTACACAAAATACCTCGGATCAACAACAACCTACTGTGGTAGTGAACAAACCAGATCTCAGTGGAAGACGAAATCAGGAAGAAGCGTTGGAAGTGGATAGGACAGACATTGAGGAAAGCAACGAACTGTGTCACAAGACAAACTCTCACATGGAATCCTCAATGTCAAAGCAGGAGAGGAAAACCAAAGGACACATTACGCCGGTAAATGGAAATAGACATGAGAAAAATGAACAAGAATGGGGTAGAACTGGAAAGGAAGGCCCATGACAGTGTTGGTTGGAGAATATTGATCGGTGGCCTATGCTCGATTGGGAGTAAGAGACATAATTAAGTAAGTAAGAAAGTAATCCGATCACATATTATCATATCTATACATGTGCATATATATATATATATATATATATATAGCCAAATGTCCTCTGTATCTCATCTTAGCCTATTTTAATAATTATATATATTCAGAATCTTTATTTAGATATATTGAAAAGATAATGTCAACCTACTTTTTTACTACTGAGAATACAATTGTTTGTTTGCTTGCTTTTTTTTATAAAGAAACTATTATTGATAAAAATTAAATATTTTGTCACGTACTCAAATTCTATTCTGTCGAATAGTTGAAGCATATCAGAAACTTTATCACGTTCTACATTATTCAAGTAGAAAAGTGTCAAAAAGAAAAATTGTAAAAAAAAACAAGGATTGTTTCGCATGATTTATATAACTAATTTACTTTCAGATTTAATTTATAAAAATTAGATAAGAATACATTGGATAATTCACAATGTATAGAAATGTAGATAAGAAATATATCTAATATTTATTATGTATTAGTAAAGCAAGCAAGCAAACAAACAAACACATAGTCTGATAGTAGTTTTATAGTCAAATAAGAACCAATGTTAAATTATATCATGAATTGTCAGAAAGAAGCGATGAATTGAAATGAAGAGAAATATAATTTCAATAGTTGAGATCATGAGTCAGTTGAAACTAAACTACAATAGTGAATCTGAAAGCGCTGGACGAACGTTTCGTCTTATTACAGGACTCCTCAGCAATGAGCATCTACGATCCCACAAAGCGAGATTCCAGAGTTTCCATGGTGGTCTAGCTTTAATTGACTCATAAATTCATCTACTAAATTAATTTAATTTAGTTAAAGATATTTACAACATAAAAGTTATCTCCAAAAGTAAGCATACAAACTTTACTATATCAATTTTAATAATTGAAATCATGAGTCAATTGAAGCTAGACCACCATGGAAAACCTGGAAACACTAGACTACCATTTCTTTCTATTATAGGACTCCTCAGGAGTGCGCATAATTGCAACAAAATTATAGCATTGAGAAATAATTCGATAACAAGATTGTATTTATAATGATTATGTAGTAGTTACTTCTATGAATATAACTCATCAATAGTATAGTTTGAAGAATGAAAACAATGACAACAACAACACGATATAATCAGAAAAAAATTTAACTACTGAAATATCTATTCCAGTATGTAATGTTGGTGAAGATACTTCTTTAAAGTTGGAATACTTGACATAATGTCAAGTAAATAATACTTTGAAAGTTTTATTCTGTTAATTATTTTTAATTTTGATATTTATTATCTTCAAATAATAGAAATTTCTGGAAATCTTTGTTTGTATCGCTCTCTTAACAAAATGTTTTATAACTTCTCAATTTTCAATAATCTTAGTGTAAGCCACTTCTTCAGAACATAAGTAAACAAATCAAAATTAATCCAAGTTTAAATAGTACAACGGAACAACAAGAGTATTGATCGCATAATATTCTTGTTGTTCCGTGCTATAACTGACAGCAGATTAGAGGACAGCGAATTATCGGTCGGACCAAAGACGTGCAAACACGTAAGAACGGCCAAGGTTTGTGATTGGTCCCGCTCCCCTGTCTAGCCCAGCCAGTTGACTCCAGAACGCAAGTCTAAGCCTCTGAGATATGAATCATTATATTTCAGACATACTCTATTTATATACCAACCAAACATACCACATCGTACCATAAAATAGAAAATAACATTGTACAATATTGACCAGTAGGAAAACGACACGTGAAATAAATAATGACCAATAAGAAAATGACACCATCTCAAGTCCAAGGATAGCGTTAGACTTAACAGAATAATGTTTGGAATATTTTCCTGAACATCCCAACATCCTGTCATGAGTCAATTGAAGCTAGACCACCATGGAAAACCTGACAGCACTGGACGGCCGTTTCGTTCTAGTATGGGACTCCTCAGCAGTGCACATCCACGATCCCGCACCCCGCGAGATTCGAACTCACAACCTATCAGTCTCGCGCCAGGCCCTTAACCAACTAGACCACTGAGCCGACATCCAACAGTGTTAATGTCTAACCCATTCTGACAAATTTATTTATTTATTTATTTATAACAATCTACTCAGTGCTGAGTTTATTCGAAATTACCAAGTCAAACCTTTGTAATGATACCTATAAAAACTAAAATCGTAAAGTTTTCCATATATATGAACAACACTGCTAGAATATCCATTAAATCAAGTTTTAAACTTAATGGAATGTAAGACGGAATTGTTGTTTCCATCCCTATAAGACTTATATTTCTTTCCGAAATGTAAATGTAAACTTAACAAAACTTTCTTCAAGTATATTAATGGGTAATTATATTTGTATATATTGATTTATTGAATAAATTATTTGATTAGAAGGCATGAATTTCTGAAGAAAAGTTTCAATTTCGGTTAGATACTAGTTACAGCAAAATAAGATATAGTTCCGTAAATATAATTTGTTAGAGAATATAATTCATACTTTGAACAATTAGAAATTGCATTTAGACAGAATTTTTGACATTGTAAGTTTATATTTTAGTCAGAAAAATGTACGTCATATAGATATAAAACATAAAACTAATGAGTTACTCTATAGATCCTGGTAATGCTTATTTAGTAATCAATGGATAGAATGTCAGCAGAACACCGCGTTATACAGAGGGAATAGCCACTCGTCTTTTCAACGTCAACTTATATCAAATAAACTTTTAACTCAATTGT